GCGGCGGGGTCAGGGCCGCGCACCTGCGGGCAGGTACCGATCGGGTGTCCCTGCTCACTTGACTCTCCTGGATGAGTCTTGCTGGAGTGACTTCATTGCATGAGATTACCTTTAGAGACAGCCCTGTGCTACCTTGTTTCCAGTGGGGCAGGTTGGCTGGTTTGTTTTCCAGGTTGCTCTGCTCGACATAGATATCTGTGGGCCATCGATTCCTAAAATTATGGGTCTAGAAGGAGAACAGGTGAGTGAATGCTCAAACATATTGTTCAAGGAGTTTTTTTTTTCTCTGTTTTTCATTAGCATATTCAGGTTTTTTGGATGTAGAGCTTCTAAAAGCAGTGCATAATGGGAAATGTGTAGAAGTTTATCGTAACATATTTTGCAAAAGAGTCATCTGCTTTCAGGATGAGCAGTTCTGCAAACCAGCTTTCATTGCATGTCAGCCACATAATGCTGACTACTTGAAACTACTACCCAAGTGGTATTAGTGTGATGTGCTTTATCAGCCCTTGAATATTTCTTTCAAATGCAAGTAATGAGTAAACTTGCATAATGGTTGAACAGTTGTTGTTCACTCATTAATGGAGATCTGGTGCTCTTGCATTTTTACCTCAGCTGCCCCACAAAAGCAGGATTGTTCCTGCAGGCAGGAGAGCTCTTTGCCCAGGTTTGACTTACGTTTATGTTTTGTTTGCCATTTGTTGCTATTGCAGCTTTTGTGTATCACTTCAATTTTCAGGTTCATCAGAGTGGGTCTGGATGGTCTCCAGTGGTGAGTTGGTGCTGTTGTTTCAGAAAGTTCATTGGGTGTGTTTGGGTTGGGCATCATCTACTACAGTGCAAAAAGAGTGAGGGAGGAGCAGGGAGTACTCTTGTTAATTCTTCTTCTAATGACTTAAATATCCAGATTCTATAGAATCTACAGATATAGGGCATAGAATCTACAGATGCTGCATGTCCAGATTCTATAGATCTATATAACCTATGTCCATGCTCTATGGAATATCTAGAGAACACTATAGAATGTATTTCCAGATTTTATAGAATATAGAATAGATCTATAAAATCAAGATACATATCATATAGAATCAGGATATAGACTATGTAGATCAGAGTGTTAAATTTCTTAATTACAGTAGTACTGTATTTCTAGAATTGTTTTATTACCTTGTGTCTACTGACTTTGCAATATGGGCAATAAATATAAATTGCTCAGGTTTGTTATTTTGGAGTAACATGCTGTAGTGTGTCATGTCTTCTGTGACAGCCAAGAAGTATATTGCACCCAAGGCAAACCTTACTAATCTTTGGAATATGCAGAGATTTTGCAGTACTCTTGGTTGTCTAAAGATCCCCTGTAGTGTGCATGCTGTTAGAAAGGCAGCTGGTGTTGAGAGAGAAAACTGCTTTTATCCTTCTGTTGTCCCCAGTGATTCCATAAACTGCTGTAACAATTTCATTTTTTCATTCTTAGTATAGTTAGTAAGTGTTGCACAGAATGCAGTTTTTAATGCCCTGTGATAAAAGATAAAGTTCTCTGCTTTTATTTCGTTAATGTCTTCCCCCTCATTTGCTTTTTCTGTAAAATAGGGGTTCAGAGTTTGTTTCTCTAGTCTTTCTTCACTGTTAGGTTTCTCTACTTCTCTTTCAGTATGTTGAAGAAAACTTAGGTGTCATGTCAGTGGGATTCTTGCTTAGTAGTCCTGATGATGCTGTCATCTGGAGAGGACCAAAAAAGAATGGTGTGTATTGCGTGTTTCCAACAGTAATTTACATACTTGAAAGGTTTCAAGTGTAGAAATATGTTTAGTCATGTAGATAGGGTAGTTAGCTAAGACCCAGAAATGTCAAATACAGGAAGATACCTTTTTCCTCTTCCACCTTCCTATCCTTTCCTGCAGGGCTGATCAAGCAGTTTCTGCGTGATGTGGACTGGGGTGAGGTGGATTACCTGATCGTGGACACGCCCCCAGGGACGTCGGATGAGCACCTGTCCATCGTGCAGTACCTCAGTGCCACCCGCATCGACGGTGCTGTCATCGTCACCACCCCCCAGGTGTGAGCCAGAGCCCACCAGGGAAGCATCATGGCACTTCCAGGCAGCCCTTGGGTTCCAGGCTGTTGATTTCACAGGAATCTAAGGGTACAGCATCTCAGGGAAATGACTTTGTTGTGTTGCCCCTGCAGCTGGTCTGTGGGTTAGGTGAATGTGTCAGGGATGGGGATCCACATGGGTCACTAAACCACAGCAGCTCACAATCAAAAGCTGTTGAGACCAGTGTGGTGAAAGGAAATGCAGCGTGTCATTTCCTCCTTCAGAATCAGACTTAACACCATTGTGGATCTGTAATTTACTCACCAACAGCTTAATGTTCAGAAGAATGTTTGTTAGAAGCTTTGTTTTTAAGTGATAAGCTGTGCGCTCTCTGACACCTGTGAAGTAGCGTGTCACCTCCAGGTGACCCACCTAAGTAGGCAGCTTTGTCATGTGCATTTTTAAAAGAGAAACCAGCCCTTGGAAAGCTGTAACTAAAAACACACCAAGTTCAAACAGAGGTTTTCATGTCTGGTTTGGAACAGAACAGGAGATCAAACTAGCATGTGACATGAAGTATTTCTATAACAGCAGAAAGGATAACACATAAAGGAAGCAAAGTGTTGAGGAGAATACCAGAGAGGTGGTGAAGGAGGAAGGGAACGGGAGAATGGATGAGGTGAGTCATATACGTGAAAACTCTGAGGAGAGAATAAAATATTTTAAATTTATTGGAAAAAAGGTAACTAGTGTAAGCCTGGTGGTTCTTGTCTTCACTCTGTGGAGAATACCAAGGGTCCTGTAAGATGAAAATGTGAAAAAGTTGCATTTAAGGAAGATATGAGATGAACATAGGAGATAAAAAACACAAATGTGGGTGAATATTGACTAGAGTCAGATTTCAAAACAGAACCACATCCAGTAGTCTTGAAGTGTTATACCTGCTCTGTTGATGGAGCTCATAGCACAGGTTTGTGTTCCTAAAAATATGAAGGCAGCAATAATAATCCATTATACAGTAGCTCTGTGGAGGTTACTGAATGGATTCAGCATGAAACAGCTGACATACAAGTGTTTGCTGTATTTGTAGGAAGTGTCACTTCAGGATGTTCGGAAGGAGATCAACTTCTGCCGCAAGGTGAAGCTGCCCATCATCGGTGTGGTGGAGAACATGAGTGGCTTTGTGTGTCCCAAGTGTAAGGTAAGGCTGGCTGTGTATTACAGTGTTCTTTCCTTGGCATTGCTTGGATAGCAAACATTGCTCCAACAATGCCCTTTTCTCAGAATTGCAGTATTTTAACTCTGATTTTCTTGTTGTCCCAGAATGAATCTCAGATCTTTCCCCCAACTACTGGTGGTGCAGAGAAGATGTGCCAGAACTTGAGTGTTTCTCTTCTGGGTAAAGTGCCTCTGGATCCACAGATAGGTAAAGTCACTTATTGCACTGCACTTAAAGCAAGTTGTTCCTCCTATACTGATGTTACTGCTGCAAAACCCTGATGTGGGCACCAATGTCTCTTAGCACTTTTAGATAGAATGTTTTTTGAATCAAAAGTCACTGGAACTATGACTATAGCTTGGTGTAGAATGTGGAAAGTGCTGGGGTAATTTCCTTTACTTTTCCTTAATCAGTTAAGATTACATGCTACATCTTTTCAGCTCTGTAATCATATCTGAAATAAAACATGTTTTTCTCTTTGGTGAAGTCACCTGCAAATGCAAACTGAATGAAATAATAACCACTTCAAAGTATTTTGTAGATGTTAAGCATTAAAACCAGTGCCTTAACCTCACTGTTATTGGCACTGCCCAGATTCTCTTGTGGGTCATGAGGAGGTGTGGTTCTTTGCCCACTAACTTATCAATTAAAACATGAATTAAGGACATCAAGGAACAGCTCAGTACTTCCAGCTGAAGGTTTCTGCCAGTACTATTCCTCTGTCAAACTGTACACTGTATTTCTAGTCCTGTTACTGACTTCAGGGCTTCCTAAAAGGAATAGATGCAGGTGGCTGTTTGAAGAGGCGTAACTGGAACAGGATAAAGGCTAAAAACCAGAAAAACTCATCTTTTCCTGTTGTTTTGTTTCTGTGTTTTTTCTCTGTCCTTCAAGGAAAGAGTTGTGACAGCGGCCAGTCTTTCTTGGCTGAAGCACCTGAGTCTCCAGCTACATTGTCTTACAGGAATATCATTCAAAGTGAGTCTGAGAATCACTGTGCAAATGAATCCCCTCGGTTCTGAGCACTGCTGCAGTACACAAAGGTGTTACACAAGCTTGTGGAACTGTTCCACAAAATAAAATCAGGAGAAGGACTCAGCAATTCTGAAAGTAGCAGGTGCAAAGACCGTGGCTGCTAAAGTGATAATGAAATTGTATGTGATAACTGGTTTCAACATTTGACTTCAGAGAAGTCAGACTTTCATTTTCAGAGATGGGGTGTCCTTGTGCTCAGAGAAACCTTCTGAGGCTCTCGAGCAGGTGTGGAGGGGTGCTCACCATAACCCAGTGGGAGGCGACTGACTGACCAATGCCTCCACTTGTAACTGTAATTACACAAAAACCCCTTGCAAAAACTCCCTAAACAGCTGGTGCTGTGCTGTTTAAAATAATCCTAAAACTACTTTCAGTGTAAGGAAGGCCCAGCTTCAGATACTTGTAACCACAGGGGAGTGATGCAGCAGCAACAAACTCCTGATATACAACTGAAATAGTGCTTACATTACTTTTTCTCCATCTTTGCAGGAATTCAGGAGTACTGTGAACAACACCATTTGCAAGAAGAAAAGATAATGTAATCTGTAAGTGGAACAAAAATGTAGCTCATGTCTAATTATAGAAAAGTAACTTATGCCTTGATTTATTAAAGGAATGTATTCTTTTTGTATATTGCAAATAAATTCTTAATATAAAGGCTCTTGCCTATGTTTTTTTTCCAAAAGTTCAGGATTCTTGTAGTTCTTCCCTCACTAGAAAGCTGTGAAAATGAGTCTGCATCTGGATTATCAAGTGCATTCTGCCTCCACTGTCATGGTACCAATAACCTGACTGTAAAGGTAGCAGTTGAAGAAGTGAGAATACAACCCACATTTTACTTAGGCGGTTGAATTTAAAATATGCTGGGTTGACACTGGGGCATGTGCAACAGCCTTAGTTCTGCCTGCTGCACAAGGGTGAGCTGTAATGCCCCTTCCCTCTCCCAGAATAACATCATTTAAATGTCTCTTTTCATTGGAAAAGATCTTTGTCTAGAGTGAAAGGTGGGGTAGTATTACAGTACATGTGCACTGCTTTATTTATTTTTTTACAGGTATCAAAACAAGATGAACTTTCTAGCTATACATAAGTAGTGGGTGAACATGATTCATGACTTCTGTTTTGTTCCACTTAAGCCTAAGCCTGAACACTAAAAAACAAACATTCAGTATCTTTAATAATTAAGAGGTCCTTTGTGTTTGTGGTTTGAAAACTCTGAAAAGTCAGTATTGTGTACAAGAGAGAAAGGCAGTTTGGTTTTGTTTATTGTAGTTCCATAGTTAAACAAATCAGCATCATATATTCATTGCATGTAATTTCTGGTTAAGATAATCCAACAGTTTGAGGTTAGTTGACAGCTTTGCTGAAAGCAGCGAGCTCCTTGTAAACCATGAGCACTGTGTGCTCACACAAACAATTTTTTGGTGAAGCTTTTAAGTAACAAAGGCTTTAAACCTTCCAGGATCTAAAGACTCAAACACAAATGACTTTATTTCATGCAGGCATAATTCTAGAAGAGCTTTATGTAAATATCTTCCCATGAAGAACAACAACTTTCATTAATGACTTTTTTACTGCTCATCCTTTAGCTCTTCCTTATTTGGTTACCTAATGCCTGTCTTCCCATGATCTTCAGTGCCATCTTCTGCAATTCTCCTGCTCTGTCCTGTTGAGGGAACAGAGCACACATGGCCATAAGCATAACCTGGGACACAGGGATCTCTTACAAAAGCAGGGAGCTGCCAGCTGGAAGCCTGAAGGTTGAAGATGGCTCTTCCAGCTCTGCTTAAACAGAGGAATCAGAATTATAGCAACTCCACGGATTTAAGCTAAGAACATTCTTTTGGAGCTTGGAAGCAGCTCAGTTGTGGAGCTCAGCAGGCTCCCAAACCTGGAGCAAAGTGACCTGGGGTTATGGCTCTTCCTTGTGACACTGCCAGAGAGGCTTGGAGGAGAATCAGGATTATCCTGGACTCACTGCAGGAACTCAGAGCCAGGAAAGGCCAGCACCAGCCCTGAGAGGCAGGTTGGCTGTTCTACCCCATGGGCTGAAGCTCAGTACTCACTCTTGGGAACATCTGTGGTGCCAAACAACCTTGAGGTTACTCTGCTGATGGTTTTTGGTCCTCCTAACTTGCAGTGGATGTAGCCATATAAATTAGCAGTCTGGAGGGAGATCCCAGCAATCACGAGAGCCTGTGGACAAACAAGAGTTCAGCAGGAACAAATCCATGGTTGTGCATTGATTGTGTAGGATATACACATGTGTGTGTGTGTGTGTGTGTGTGTGTACACACTATCCAGATTAGTGTGCTGCCACGGGGACATTATTCACAATCATAAATGGCCTTCAAAGACATCCAATCATGGCAAACACAATAGTTCCTCTCTACAAATACTTATTTTTATCAAAACACCAATACCAGTTGTATCATTTTGTATCTTGAAAGACTTCATTACTTTCCTAAAAGCACTTACTCAAAAAAGGACCTACTCAACAGATTCCAGAAACATTTCACTTTTTTTAAGCCCCATTCTTATTTAAATGTTTTACATCCAGATACATGGCACACTTGCAGGCCTGTTCAGCTGACAAACAGCTTATTATAAACAAATAAGATCTGTAATTTGTGGATTTACAAAGAGCATCCATAGATTGATTTCCTATCTAGTCTTGACAGGCAGTGAAAATAATCAGTTCCTTTTGTGGTACTTCAGGTTTAGCAGCAAGTGGAACCAATCTGACTAATGCAGTAATTTATAAAAGTGTTTCTCTTAGCCTTCAAAACCAGTTTCCCAGAAGTGATTTTATTTTTGTTTGAGTCATTTGCCTTTTACAAGCACCTGGGCAACCTGCCTCCTGTGCCAGTTCTAGTTCTGTCTCCAAGCAGCTCTTGGCTTAGCAAACAATCTCGGCTTTTCAAAAATAAAGGTGGAGCCATGAACAAAGAGTGCTGGTTTAATTTTAACGATTGCTTGTTTAGGGGCACCATAAAGCAGGTAATGATTTGCAATTGATTCATGCCCATAACTGAATTTCCTGTTTAATTGAATAATGAATATGCAATTTTGACTGTTACTGGTTATGTAGCTGCACATGTCAGAGGTGCTTTTTATCTTTTCAGACTGAATTAGGAAATGGTACTGAGCATGGCTGGGAACTTGACAGCATGAATAGCATGGCAATTAGCCAAGCATTTAACATTTACAGGGGAAAATGTGAAGATTTCATAGACAAAAATATCTTAATATAATGCAATATATGGGGTAAACTTCCTCTTGTATTTAGAAAAAAAAGTGTTGAGTTTTTTTTAAGTAGATGACTTAGAAGTACAGCAATTATAAAATACTTAAGCTCAGTTTATCAAGGTTTTATGAGCTAATGATGCTGGTTCTTTCAAAAGGAAATGGTACCAGACATCTAAATTCCTTACTTTTAAAAGTACATTTAAGTTCCCAGGAGACCTAAAACCCTGAAAACCAACATCACTGGTTCATTTTTTGTCCTCTCTAGTTTTATTTGACTGAAATAAGTTGGGGCAGAGTAAGTTGCTACAGTTAAACAGAAGCTCACAATTTTGCCCACCACTTGAGGTTCTCTAGAGGAAAGAGCTGGCATCTGATAACCCAGTAGAAGTGCAGCTAAAAATTACCAATCCATTCCAGACTGCAAGCCTTGACTGCAGAAAACTCCTCGGGATTTTTTGAAGCTGCTGGTGAAATTTTTCTACTGTTGAAAGATTGGGTTCAAAGCTAACAGATCTGGGTTTCCCTCTACCTAGATTGTTTTCAGTACCCCCTGACTCACCAGCCATTTCAGCTTCAAGGAGAACAAGGTGCTAAAGAAAAACATTGTCCAAATCACTGGGCAGATGATGAGACCGAGCCAGAAGATTCGGGCTTCAGCTTCAGTTGAGGCAGCTACTGTAGGCACCTGGAAGGAAAAATTGAGACTATTAGTCACAAAGTCAAAACCCACAATAAACGACAAACTGACAGAAGAGGAGGATTTCACGTATCATATGCATAGAACAGGATTAACTAAGAAGAGCAGTTGTTCATGCCCAGTTCCTTCCTGATGCCCTACTGTACACAGCATTTTCATCCACAGGGATTCATTAGTTGGTTCTAGTTCAGAGTGGAATTCTTATAAAAGTGCACATTTCTATACATTTTCATAAAAAGATGCTGCATCTTAATTTATATCTTGCATGAAGCTTATTTTCCTATTATATAAACTACTATGTCTTCCTATTATATAAATAGTTGGTTTTGCTTCTGAACTCTGCTGACATTCCATGAATTAAGAACCATGGCTTTGAAAATGCCTCTTGTGTCATGCTGGAGTTGAGCACACTGTAACTGCAAGAGGCAGCCTTATGGTCTGTGCTCTGTCTGCTCCTCAGGGAGAGCAGAAACTCCAGAGCAGGCTGCAAAGCCCTGCTTACAGATTTCTTCAGGTCAGCACAACTCACGTCTGTATCTACACTGAAGGGCTCATCGCACTTAAGAAAAAACAAAAAGAACCCTTAAAGTAAGAGAATTGTTCAGAAGGCTCTGATCTTTCCGAAATTCAAAATCTCACTCCAACCCTCAGACCAATTGATGACCACTAGTACCAGCTTCTGAAACAGAAGCATCACAATTGGAGAAGAAAACCCTCTGGACTCTTCCACTCTGAAAAGCTTTTTAGATAATTTTCAGTCTATTGAATTTTCCATGTATTCTGTCCTGTATGGTTTCCTCTATTCTGTCTTCAGACCTCCCTCGGTCTCACAGGAAGCACATGAATTAATTTGTGTTCCGTGCTTGGGGCACCCCAGAGCTGCAGCCAAGGCTGCAGGGGGCACTGCAGGAGACACTGCAGAGGGTAGCGGGCACTGCACAGGGCACTGCAGGAGGGCACTGCAGAGGGTGCAGAGGGCACTGCAGAAGGTGCAGAGGGCACTGCAGGGGACACTGCAGAGGGTGCAGAGGGCACTGAAGGGGGCACTGCAGAAGGTACAGAGGGCACTGCAGAGGGCACTGCAGAGGGCAGAAGTTACAGGCACAGGGCACTGCAGAGGGCACTACAGCGCCGCACGCTGGACAGCAGCGGCACAGCCGGCGGGGCGGGGCACAGCTCGGGGGCTGCAGAGAATGTCCCTGTGAGCAGCCCCGAGTGCTGCTCTGCCAGGCTCAGTGGGGCTGCAGAGAGAATGTCAGTGAGAGCAACACCGAGTCTTGACTCTGGCAGTGATGCCAAATGCCATTCTATTGTGCTTCCTTCCCCCCAGCTCAGTGTGTTTAGGGGGCACTGGCAGTATCAGAATGCTCTGTTATTCAGGTTCTCTTTCCCACCATATTCCATGAAGGTGAATAAAATATTAATTTCAAAATACTGAATCTGAACTATTCAGCATTGCTTTCCACAAAGATCTTTCCTGAAGAGGATTCTGTGTTGGGATTATCTATGGAAAGATGTGTTTATTACAAGATATTCTCACTAGAAAATAAAATAGAACTACCAGAAACATTTCATACCTATAGCACCATGCTATGAATATTTATTCTGCTGATCCATATGCTGACAATGTTGTGAGTCCTGTTTTGCCCTGAATGCTTCCAGGATGTGACAAACAGTGCTTGCACCTGAATACTGACATTGTTTTCTATGGAAGCAGGATGAAAAGTAACTGTTACAAAGGTGCTCTATTTGTTACTTTGTTTGACTTGGTATCAGCTTTACAAATTTCCTATGGATTCTGTTTGCCTTGTGCCTGCTTCTATTAATATATTTACCCTTTTTGCTTCAAACACCCAGTGACTTTTTCCATCTTCATCAATCTGGTTCCACCAACGCAAACCAACCAAGAGTCTTCCTGTCACATTCTAGTGATGAAACCATTATTTGCATTAATCAGTAGCACAAGTCACTTGTCAGTATAACAGTTAAAAATAGAAAAAAAATTAACAGACAAGCATGTTCAAAAATCATCTTTTATCTAATACAAAAATATCTTCTAAAAGCTGTTCCAGCTTGAGTACAACAGCCATTAACAATGGGTGAAGTTACAAATTTAGAGGCCTCTTCTCTTTCAATATGATAATAAGCACAATAGCACTTACTTAGACAAGAAATTATAGGTTGTATCTTGTTCAAGTCAATTATTGGGTGCTTGTTGGACAAGCACCCAATAAACAAATTTATTCAGTAAAAGAGGAATATTAATAACAGAAACACACTGGAAAATGGGAGATTAAGGACAAGCAAATAAGCTTGTAGGATCAGGGAAACAAAGCAAGAAAATATTTCAGCACCTGGATGAACCAGAAGCTTTCAGAATACTGGAGGTGCATCAGTGCTTCACTTCTACAAAACAAAAGCCTTGCTCAACACATGGAACCCCTGGATCCTGGGCTGGCCTGACCCACCTGCCTGCATGGGATTAGGGCAGGGCACCAGAGCTATAGCTGGGCTGTCAGGAGACAAGGTTGCAGATCCTGACATTCCTGGGCATCCATTGCTGAAAGCCAGTATTACTTTAATTTTTAAATTTAATTTTTTATAAGGGGAAGCATACAAACAAATTACCTATGGCAAAGCAATTTTCTCACCATATTAGTGGACCTTAGTAGTCAGCCATAGAAAACATGGTGCTAAATAACTAACATACATTAACATCTTCATTAAAATGAGCTAGACATTTAATAAATCAACAGATTGCAATATTTTTGTCACTTTTGTCATTATACATATTTCAATTTTGTTTTAATTAATGACAAAATACTTCCCAAGGTAATTACTATTCAGGGTCATCTTACCTTGACAGACCAAAAGTCAAAGGATAGAAGGAGGAGAATAGTGACAAAACAGGCAACAAAGCTGTTGCTGAACCAGTCACAGAACAAGTAGGTAACAATAGCACTCACTCGGAAAAACAGGTGGAAAAAGGTGGCCAGTGGGTGCCTAGAAAAAACAGAGCATAAATGAGGTTATGGGACAGGAGGGAATGTTCCAGTGCTGGCTGACAATGTAGCACAGCACAGGTATTTCAAGTTTGTAATGGTATTTTGGTTTGTAGCTGCTATTATTTCAGTGTTGGTGTATATCTCCATTAGCAAACAATGGTCTTTTCAATAGCCAAGCTTCAGTCTAAATCTAAAATACAAATGTGGTGTTCCTGTCAAAACTTTCTCAAAGACAGAACAAAATATGGAGCCTTTCACCAGATTCTTTGGTCCTGTGTGAAGGAATTTAGTGGCTGTGTGCAACACAGTACCATAAAATCCTTGTTGTTTCATTAAATGAATCAGCATTACAATGCACAAAAGAATTGAGAGAGCTCTTATGCCCTTCAGAACAGCTTTGAAAACAAAACATTAACTCTAAAAAAATTGTAGCTGTTTGCTATAAGACAAAATGAAGTTTCATATTTAATGTCTAAACCCAACACTTCCTTTTAGGCAGAATGATTTGGGAATCTAACAGTTCTTCTGAATTACTGCTTATTAATTTCACTACAGTATTTTCATTTTGCTCATTGAACAAATTTTTATCTGTAACAAAATAAAGAGAAATTTCAGTGAAAGAAGTATGTGACATGGAATACTGGCCTGCACAGTAGGGTGGGGGGCTGGAGAATGCTGTAATGAGCACAGCACAATTTTCAGGGTAATATGCCAAGTAAAAATTTTACTCTGTGCAATTGTTTGTGTTAATTAGTTGAAAGTGAGAATTAACTACAGGCTCTTGCAGTTAAATAACTTCTTCCTTGAAGCTTAGAGAATAAAATATCTGAATGAGATATTTAAGTCAACAATTGTCTCCTTAAGCTCCTATGCCTCTGTGACCAATTAACAGTAGAATAGCCAATTAACAAAAGTATGGCCTAGGGTGTAATCAACTATTTAACTACTAAATGTTATTCTGTTATTGTGTTTAATAAAATGAGATATGTAATATATACACAATTGCTTACTATAAACTTAAATTATAGCTATATAAGAATAATAACTTTTATGACTTTAATATCCTTGTTGTTCTATTCTTTCTCTATAGCTGTTTAACTGTTGTGGTGTTTATCTTTCTCCAGTGGTAATACTGTGTTTGTAGAACTACACATATGACTGGGGAGGGAAGGATGATGCACAGGTGAAGTTTATATTTACTCCTGGTCATGCCCATGTGAACTTCAAACTTTCCAAAAACTTCTTCTGACTTAGAACTGAACATGTGACATTTTAAGCAAAGGGGCTTTTTCTGCCATAAGCAGCCAGGTGGGTGGAGTGGGGATTGTGAACTGGGACAAACAGACAGGGCTTGCTGCTTCCAGCCTTGATCTTGGTCAGGAAGATGCAGGAGTCAGTGATGGGATGGTGCCCTTGTGTCCAGAGCAGCTTTCATAGATCACAACCCCAAAGCACACCAGGGTTGCCTGAGCTTTTCTAATGGATCAGTGCTTCAAACGTGGCAGTAACTCTGGGGAATTCATGTTTCATTTGGGAAGGCAGATTCAGCAGTATGACTGGATAACAACAGGATTACTGTTTGGATGCTGAATTTGTTCCAATGTCAAACACTGAAGGGTATTTACTAAAAACCAAACAAAACCCATGAGCAAGGAGCTGTCATTTATTACAGTGCTGAGCATTTACTGAGACTCTGGAAAGGATAAAGGAAATGGCAACTCTACCATGGCTCAACTTGGCATAAATTTGCTTCTGAAAGGACAGGAATCCACTTGCTTGGCCTTCTTGTTTTCCTGTTGCAGCTAAACATCCACGTGATGCACAACTGGAGCCTGCAGGCTCAGTGATTGCCATGTACTTGTTACAATAACCTCTGCTCAGTTTGGGGACAGGAAGGAGCTGTAATCAATTTAGTTGCATCCCATGTTAAAGAATCAAATTTGGGTCAGGCCTAAGCTGTGCCAGTGAACTACAGGAGAATCATTCCAGATGCCTGCTCAGAGGTGCCACAGCAGAACTCTACATGCTGCCTTTTTTTTTTTTTTTCTCCTATCTCATACTTCAAAATGTATTGAGACAAATTTTGAATAAATGAGTTCTCTTTTCTCCTTGATCACTGTTTCCTGGCTGATTTGTAAAAGAAGCAATCATATGCTCCCTACTTCCAGATCTAAAGTCCTGGTACTGCAATCTTTTTCCAGTTTCTTAGGAAAGAGGAAGAATTTCCCAATTTCCAGAACTTATCTTTTCCCTGTTTCTTAGGAAAGTAGCCACTAACCTTTTGCTTTTAAGGAGCCCTTTTGCACATACCTCAGAGAATCACAAAAGCACAATTTGTCATAGCCTATGCTAATTATAACCAAGTTCAAGATATATGAAACTGGAATAAAGACAAATGACTGGAACACCTTGTTATGCCCTCTAATATGATAACAAAATTTTGCAGCACCTAGGTGACTTTCAGACTCATTTGCACAAGATTCTTCAGAAATATAAAAACAAACACATGTGAGCAGTGTAAGCAGTTTCATTTCTGCATTCTATAGCAGATGAATTTTCAATACTACATCATCTTTCAATATTGTCTTGAGGGCCAGAAAGAAGAGCTGTCTCTAATGAAGCCACTGTCTAACAAAGTGGATCACAGAACAGTACAGTTTGCTGATACTTTACCTGTGCTGTACTACTGAGCAGCATGAATCAGGAGCAATCTCTAAGATCTCTAGAGTAAAGTGCTTCGTGCTGTGACCTCCTACAAACATTCCAGGGTGGTTTCACTTCATGCTAAATGTAGTCTGGTCCTTCAGAACCTGTGGCTCATGTGATCAAGGTACTTCTAAGCTGTACTTCCCAGCTTAGTTGAATCCTTGAAGCTGTGCTCTCCAAGACTGCACCAAAATATAAACCTTCATTTAATATGTGTGCTGTTGCTAAGGTGTAAAACCAAGGCAATTCTGAGAAGGTTAATCTTATGTCAGGGCTGACTCAAGTAGTGACCAAGTGCGAAGCACTGCTTCACCAGACACTTGTAAAAGTAATTATATTGTAAAGGTACATGATTGCTTTTCATCTCAGATAATGTTGTGTCAGGTTTAACATCTATTATATTTTTTGTTTACACCTACAGAAAATATTATCATTTGAATGGACCGGACTAAACTGGGGCAAGGCAGAGAAAGCAATCTAAATCAAAGCTGATTATATACATTATTGATCAGTGCATGCCTAAATCTTTTTGACACAAAACTCTTCCTTTCACAGTCTTTAACTGGAGATTCTTCAAAAGCCACTGATTGAACAGCTCTGTCACCCCGGACCTCTGTGTGGCCAGAGCTGCAGAGTGACACCTCTAGTGAGGAATCCAAGCTTAGCCTGACGCATGAGATGGGTTAAGGGGTTGGGTTTTCTCAGGTAATGTCTACAAGCATAAGAAATTTTACATTCCACACAGCATCACATCCCATGGTAGGAAATCATGGCAGATTTATTGCAGCTATCCGGCTGTTCAGCCAGGTGCCCACTGCAGTGCCTGAGCACTGCTGCACAGCAGGCTTTGCTGGAGCTGAGCAAAGCCGAGTCGTGTTCCAGCTCTAACTAAAGCACTGTTTGCTTGGGGTTTGGGATGTTGGGTGTGCCAGGTTTTCACT